AGTAGATGCGGGAAATGAAAGAAGATTTTTCGAAGATTGATTCGCTAGTGTGAGATTTGTTGAGTATCTAGACTTGAGATTTAGATGTGTCGCCCCCCTCGGAACAAATGATGTGTGGGCACGTTGTATTCGCGGCATTTCTGCAGAACCAGCCGAATCGCGAAAATTAGGTCCGTGGTAGCGCGGGTACCCATGCATCCCGCCTGGTATTGCCCCACGAACTCTCTTGCAAATGCTGACAGGCGGCGGCATAGAATTTGGGAGAGTAACTTGTAGGCGGTGGTCAGCAGTGTGATCGCGCGGTAGTTGCAGCAATCCAACTTGTCGCCCTTTTTGTAGATTGGGCATACGACACCTTCCATCCACTCCTCCGGTAATATCTCCTCCTCCAAAATCTTGGCAATTACCCAGTGCAGCGCTCTAGCCAGTGCTTCACCACCGTATTTTAATAGCTCATTTGGTAGTTGATCTACACCAGTTGCTTTGTTGTTGTTCAGCCGACCGATCTCATCCTTAACTTCTTGAAGATCAGGGGCCGGTAGCCTGTCGTCTTCTGCGCGTGCTCCAAGGTATGTTGCCGTGCCACCTTCGTTTTCTGCTGCTTCACCGTTGAGGTGCTCGTCATAGTACTGCTTCCACCTCTCAATCACCTCACACTCGTTCGTGAGAAGGTTACCGTCCAAGTCCTTACACATATCGGCTTGCGGCACGTAGCCTTTGCGCGAACTATTTAGCTTCTCGTAGAACTTCCGTGTGTCGTTTACGCGGTACAGATTTTCTATCGCCTCGCGAAATCGGTCCTCGGTCTTCCTGCTCACGCTTCTTCCTTCGGAAAACCCAGTTTTGTCTGTTCCGCGCTTGTCTGTATTGCTCCACATTCAATCTCGTGCGGTGTTGCAGCATTCTCGCCCGTGCTGCATTCTTCTCCTCTACTAACAGTTTGCATTCGACGTCAAACCAGTTTCTTCGGTCCGGGATTGCAGTACCTAGTGCCGCTGCAGAGTGGGTGGGTAGAGCAACTTCCAGCTGCTGCGCGTAGTCCTGAGCAACTCCGGCGTCCCGTAGTTGCACAATGTTGGGTCGCGGCGTACGACTTCGACGGGTGTTATGCACCGTCGAGAGTTTTGAGCGCATGCATACTGCAACTAGGTAGTGGTCCGAATCTATGTTCGCACTGCGGTACGTGCAGACGTTGATAATTTCGAAGAAGAATTTCCCGTCGATTAGAACGTGATCGATTTGGTTTTCTGTGTGTTGGTCAGGTGATCTGCAGGTGGCTTTGTGGATATCCTTGCGGGAGGAAAAGGTACTTCAAACTACCATACCTCGAGAGGCTGCAAAATTCACGCTTCGTTGGCCGTTGTCGTTCGATACGGAATGCAGGCTGTTTGGCCCGATTGCCGGTCTATACATTGCCTCCCGTCCTACCTGAACGTTCATGTCGCCAATGACGATTTTGACGTCCCGTTGCGAGCAGCCGTCGTACACCTGCTCCAGCTGCGCATAGAACGCTTCTTTCTCGTCGTCGGGTCTCGCTTCGTGTGGGCAGTGCACGTTGATGATACTGTAGTTGAAGAAACGGCCCTTAATCCTCAACTAGCACAGCCTCGCGTTGATCGGCTGCCAACCAATCACACGTTGGCGAATCTTACCCGGCTCTGGTAGAAAGTAGCCGCTCGATGCCCGCTTTTCCATACCAACCGAAAGTTCCTGTATTTTTGACAGCAGATGCGTAGGACGTAGATCCCTAGATCGTGCGTTCCGAGCAGGCGTTCCAACCTGTTTTCCGGCTAAAGGGCGAATCGAGCGATCAGTCGGGTTTTTACGGCATTGTATTTGTTTTCGGCGGGCGGCGTTGCAACAAGATCGGCAATGTGACAAATGACAGACTGGTCAACTTTTGCCAGAAATATGGTGAAATTTCGTCTCGTCGATGATAATCTTGGCAAGTGCGAATTGCGGTTCAGCTTGCGCAAACCACATGACCGGGTCCGTCTTCCAGAAGTCCGGTAATTTTACACCTACTGTTGCAGCTTGATTGTTGGGTTGCGGGTTAGCTATTTTGAGGTTAGTTTCATACGATTTTCCGAAAAACAGGTATTTGTGATCGAAACGAGTATACCGACCGAATTCGAAAGGTTTCGCGACGTCGCGGGTGTTGGGTTTCGAACCGATTTCAATGATCGAAGACGTTTATTACGCATAATATCAAACTCTTTATTCTTGGCAAATTACACGCAATTGCAAACTCGTTACAAGAATAATCCTTCTTTTTGTTTCCCCTCTTTCTCACCGCTTTCTCTCTCTCTCTCTCTCTCTTTGCGCACAACTCTGTCAACGGCTGCAAATTCCAGGGTGGTATCCATTTCATCAGTTGCATCCCACAGATGATGTGATAGAAAAGTGTGTCCAGTCAAGTTAAGGTCGTAGCAGAGAATTATTTTTATTAATTGATTATCATACAACGCTTATTATGTTAACACCCCCCGGAAGCGGAATTTCTTCAACACCCAATAGATTTGGATTTTCAATTAGCTTCAAGTCAGGTACATAGTGCCTTAGTGTGGATGTCCGCAGTTTGAAGATTAGAGGGGACGTTGATGTCAGTTCCACTTGCTCTCGGATGAAATGATGCCTGATATCAATGTGGTTGGTTCTTGCTGAATAGCCAACTTCTTTTTCAGCAAGACTGATGGTACTCTTGTTGTCGCACTTGATGGTAATTGTATCCTTAGCGCCATGTAGTTCATCAAAGAATCCTTTCCACCAGATGACTTATTGTGTTGCCGTTGAGAATGCCATATATTCAGCTTCTATAGTTTATAAAGCAACAGTGGATTGCTTTCGGGAACTCCATTACCCAGCACCGCCGCTTTGAACGAAGACGTAGCCGCTGAAGGATCGCCAATCCGCATCACTATAGCCCGATGGTTTGGAATCACCAGTTTTTCGGTACGACAGCTTGCATGCTTTGGTGCCTTGGAGATAATAAAGTATCAGTTTTGCTGCTGTCCAGTGAGCAAATCCTGGATCTCTGCGATAACTGCTTACTACACTGACCGCGTGATGTGGTTTTCATGTCATTAAATTTGTTTGTTACTGACGTTTTAATTATTTAGAAAAAGAACTTGATAGAGGAAGGAATTTGGGCCTATTTTTCCACATAATCATTCAAATCGTCTAAAGGGTGTCCACGATGAAATTGCCACACACAAAATTGAATCGCGAAATTCGAGTTTTCATCCGATTGCCATCAAATTTTCAGGGATTGAGAAATAACTATTAAACTTCATTTTACCATTTTACTCGTATTTTATTTACAGTCCATACGCAAATGCCCGCACCTTGGCCTTAACCCCGGCCATAAGATTCTGCACAACCTGTGAATCAACCGTTTTTTGCATGTAAACCCATACTTTCTTCAGTTCCTCGACTGTCTTCACTACCTTAGGTCGTTTAAGAAGGTGCTGCTTCATAATCGCCCAGTACTTCTCGATGGGGCGGAGCTCCGGAGTGTTGGGAGGGTTGAACATTTTCGGCACGAAATTGACCTTATTGTCCGCATACCACTTCAGCACGTCCTTGGAGTAGTGGCATGAGGCCAAATCCGGCCAGAAGATTGTTGGGACGTTGTGGGCCTTCAGGAGAGGAAGCAGCCGCTTCTGGAGGCACTCTTTTATGTACACCTGTCCGTTCATCGTGTCCTGGGTCACGAAAGGTGCACTCCGCTTCCCGCACGTGCAGATGGCTTGCCAGGACCAGGAATTTCTTCTCAAATTTGGACATCTTCTGAGTGCGGACATGCTCCGGAACGCTGAACTTATCCTTGGTCGTGAAAAACAGGTTGCCGGGGATCTGTTTGAAGTCGGCCTTCACATATGTTTCGTCGTCCATGATGCAGCATTCAACTTTCGTCAGCATGTTGAGGTACAACTTCCTGGCACGGGTTTTGGCGGACTTGTTCTGCTTCTCGTCGCGATTAGGGGCCTTTTGTACCTTGAACGTTCGAAGCCCAGCCTTAGTTTTGGCCTTCTGGACAAAACTTCGGCTTAGGTGCAGCTTCTTAGCCACATCCCTAACGGAGGCGTTCGGATTTCGGTTGAAGGCCCCAACTACGCGGTTGTGATTTTTGGTGTTGTACGGAATACTTTTTCCTTCACTTCTGGGCTTCCGATCGGTGGTCAACCGTTCCTCGAACCGCTTAATCACTCGCGACACCGTGGAATTCGCGATTCCCAACGTTTTAGCGATGGAACGATGCGAGAGATCCTTGTTCTCGTGATGAATGCGCAAGATTTTATCACGCACGAGCTGTTCTTTCGACTCCATTTCCGCGAGTTTTGATCACAGGACTTTAAAACTTGCAGGATGTAAATAATGCACTATGAATTAAATCCACCCAAATTTTCATTTCATTTTCATTTTCAATTCTACCCAACGGTTAAAAAGTTAGAGCAATTTCATAGTGTGGCAATTTCATCGTGGACACCCTTTATCATATTTAGCTGTGCCTTCTTCTAAAAATCTCGTTAATAAAACTAAAAAAAAATGTCATTATTACTGGAACTGATGCTTGTTCTCAACTAATCGCGATATAATAAAGATGATAGTTTTAAGTGTATGTTTGTAATCTGGTTTTTTTTTACAAAACCTGAAAAAATCAAGGAATTTCAAAATTGTGAATTAGTTGACACCCTGCAATAAATTATCGATTTCAACCTTATTTTGATATTAGTGTAGCATTTTCTCCCAACTATAATCCTAAGGTAGTTAAGGATACCTTTTGAGACATTTCTCTGCAATAGCCTCTTACACACTTAGAAATTATCGCCGACTTCGGTAATTTTCGGTAAAATTGAGGCTGTTCAATTTAATTGTTTCAAAGCTACTTTAAAACGGAATCACCACTACAATTACTGAAATTCTGAGAAGAAAGTTCAAAAGTTGAATAGTTTGTTGAATAACAACCCCGTATATGCTTTAACTTTTCCCTTTTCCAGGTTTGTGCTACAACGACACCGTACTGCACGACCTATGGCTAATGCTGGGATCGCTGGGTCCAACCTGCGGCATGAAAGGCTTCATCGAACTGCTACAAATCAATCAACCAAACTACGAACCTCCCTTGCTGCTGCTATCGCTATTCTGTGACTGCATGACCCACTATGTCACGTAAGTTTGTAACTCCAATACCCAGTACCCTCTCATCAATCCCCCCCTTCCTATCTCTTGCAGCATTCTCGACGATCTGGAAATGTACGAACAGCAAAATCCCTTCACCCTAAACGACTACATCGCCCTGTCGCACTTTCTCAACACATTCCTCTACCGGACGATCCAGGACCAGATATTCGACATTAAAACCGTCACCAGTGCTCCGCTGTTCGTATCCACGCACACCCTGTTGCTGTGTCTGTATCGTCGCGATTGTCGGCGGTCTTTTGCGCCGCAGAACCACTGGCTCATCCGGGACATCCGACCATCGCACTTCCTCACCGATCTGGAAAAGGGCAAGAAGCATACGCAGATTCTGCTGCAGAAGATGCCTCACATTATACCGCACGAGGATCGCGTGCAGCTGTTTAGGAAGTTTGTCCAGAACGAAAAGGCGGTTCTGGGCTTGACGGAGTCGGCTTGTGCCTCTCCGAGTTCCGCACTGGTTACCGTGCACCGCGATCGGATAGTGGAGGATGGCTATAGGCAGCTGGCGGCTTTGCCTCCACATGCCTTGAAGGGGGTGATCCGGGTGAGGTTTGTCAATCAGCAAGGTCTAGACGAGGCCGGTATCGATCAGGACGGAGTGTTTAAGGAGTTCCTCGAGGAAACGATCAAACGAGTGTTCGATCCGTCGTTGAACCTATTCAAGACGACCACCGAACAGAGGCTGTATCCTTCACCAACGTCGCACATGCAGGAGAATCACTTGCAGCTGTTTGAGTTTGTCGGGAGAATGTTGGGAAAAGCGGTGTACGAGGGAATTGTGGTGGATGTGCCATTTGCTTCGTTTTTCCTCTCGCAAGTTCTCGGACAGACGCACCAAGCACTGTACAGCTGTATGGACGAGCTGCCTTCGCTGGATAAGGAACTGTACCGAAGTTTGACGTTCATCAAGCACTACCAGGGCGATGTGGCGGATTTAGATTTGACTTTCAGCGTGGATGAAGACGTGATGGGGAAGATTGTGACGCATGAGCTGTACCCCGGGGGGAAATCGAGATCAGTGAATAACGAAAATAAGTAAGTTGGAAGCTGGGTTTTGATACTGGAATTAAGATCAATTTTGCTTCCTTTAGGATAAACTACATCCATTACATGGCGTACTTTCGCATGCACACGCAGATACGTGATCAAACGGCTGCTTTTATAAGAGGTTTCCGGAGCATAATCAATCCTGATTGGTTAGCGCTGTTCTCAACTCCGGAGGTAAGGCGGAAGTGTAATTCCAGTTGACGAAATCTTGCTGATTGTTACATTTGTTTACAGCTTCAGCGATTGATTTCCGGTGATACGGCTCCCCTAGATCTTAAGGATTTGCGGAAACACACCCAGTACTACGGAGGTTTCCACGATGGACATCGCGTTGTCAGTTGGCTGTGGGACATTCTTGCCAAAGATTTCACCGAAGAGGAGAAGAAGCTGTTTTTGAAGGTAGGTAAATTTGAAATCGAAAAAGCATTATGTCCCACTATCGTCCACTTTCAGTTCGTCACCAGCTGCTCGAAGCCTCCGCTGCTGGGCTTTGCCCACCTGGAACCCCCATTCTCGATTCGCTGCGTAGAGGTCGGTGATGACGAGGACATTGGCGACACCGTTGGTTCCGTGATTAGAGGTTTCTTCACAATCCGGAAAAAGGACCCCCTCAACCGCCTACCGACCTCGTCCACGTGCTTCAATCTGTTAAAGCTACCCAACTATCAGAAGAAGAGCATGCTACGGGACAAGCTACGCTACGCCATCTCCAGCAATACGGGCTTCGAGTTGTCGTAAGTCCACAACAGGGAGAAAACCGCTAATAACCGTACTCGTCTGGTATTTTCCTTGAAAAAGTATATTTTCAATACAAAGATGTTATTTTTCTACACCTTTGTATCGAAGTAACAGCAAAGAATAGCACAGAGGAACCTATTGTCCTGCAAATGGAACACTATAGTAGTTCCAAATCGATGTCCTTCACACATACATATTCAAAAGGGTATATTTTTCTATTCTGTGGCTACAACAATTAAAGGCAGGCACTTGTGGAAAAAAACTAAATCTAAAAACCACTTATGGAAGAAGAAAAATGATGTATTAACTGTGATAGTAAAACAAATAATATAAACAATGGACCGAGAACGTCGGAATGACTGTATTTCTTCCAGATTTATTTTCAAAAAAAAAAACGTTAAACACTTTGTACACAAAAGCAGACGAACAGTTCTATACATTACATTATTTAAGTAACAATTAGCTTATCCACTCCATGCGCCACATGTAGGTACAACCGCGGTCGTCAGTGTGCGGTAGCATTGATCAAAAACGATGCTTTTCGATGTTTAGTGTGAAATCGCGTGTAATCATAATAGGCATCTACCGCAAAATAACCCAAGAGATTCGATTTCCTTTCCGTTTAGCTTGTGATGGGATTGCAGCTCCCGAAGGAGATTAGTTTAGTCGTGGTTTTGAGTGCAAATAGCAGCCTGAGGTCGGCTTGATCTTAGAATTTCAGTGTCAATGTTGCGTAGTAGTTATACCTATATCCTGGTAGGAAAGTGTGTATCGTTGAAGAGGCGAACAGCGAATTTTCATTGTCAGTGAATACAGAGTTATTAAACAAAAAGTATTACTCGTACAGAACGAATTTAGCGAATCCTTGTGATGTGCTTTTTTCTGCGTTGTTGAGTTGTGAAATTTCCGGAACTCTTGCTGGGTAAGTATGGTCACACATATTTGGCTTGTATCGAAGATACTCGATGATTTCACCGACATGCACAAGATTTGGTTGTCCACCGAAAAACATTCATTCAATTTTCTGATGGAATAAATGCATTGCTCTAAAATGAGGACTTTAAGAGGAAGTAAAAATGTGATTTTTAACAAATTAGCTTGAAAACATCACAACTACATCTTGTAACCGTTTTGGTACCTGTACCCTATTGATTCTCTTCGAGCGAGAAAAATCAGGAGATAGCGAGAGTGAGGAATAGGATATAGGGGAAATGCAGGTAATGTCGGCCTAAGTGTCCCTAATTTGGGCCCATACATAAATTCAGCAATTGACTAAATTTTCAATAGCGATCAAAAATATCCATTAGTACCGTCCTAATGACGCGTTCATCTAGATAAAATTGATAAATAGCAGACTTTTAGCGATGGGCCCAAATTAGGGACATGTAGGCCGACATTACCTACATTTCCCCTATGTGTGTTCATTGTGAATTCAATCTGTATGTCAGTTTCTTGTATGCAATATTGTCTTCACGCAGAAAAATTTATCGTTGAAACAAAAATATTTGAGGTAAATTTAAACGTAAACTCAGTTTGTTCTGGCCACAAAAATAAACAAGGTTTATTTCAAACGTATTCCATGTTTGAAGTCATGTAATATTAATGTTTAAAATAAAAATAATTTTACGTTTATTTTAAAAATATTCGTGTTGAAAATAAACGTGAATATTTTTGTTTGGTTTGACAACAATGCGAACAAAAATAAATATGTTTATTTTAAACATGCTTCTTATGTTTGAAAGAAACATACTTAATTTTAAATTATATTAGCATTTGAATGTAAGATAGAGCAGAAAAATTGATTGCCAAGAGATGAAAAAACGATCTGCAGGAAGATCCCGAATTCAGTTTGATTGCAATGTAGGATTGGAAATGCAGGAATCGTAAGAAGATGAGGATGATGAGAAACCGTTGAGTTCGGCAAGGAAGGAGGATGCATGCAACACTGATTTTAGTAAGAAGTTGATCCAACAAATTAATCATTCGAGTCAGGATTGTGTGAATATGATAAAGCTTGCTGAAGTTTCGAAGCAAATGGAAAATGAGCAAATGAAGTTGGAGCAATTACGGAAAGAGCAAGAACACAAGGCAGGTGTAAATGAGGAGCATGTTTCGGATCTGTTTGTGGCAGGAGAGAAGATCAAAGACAAAAGCTCGAAGCAAACAGGAAGAAAAATGACTTTTTCAGAGGGGGGGGGGGAGTTGCTGGAGGTTCCGCAATAGATTCAAATTTAAAATGTCATTTCGGATTTTCGTTTCCCTTTGTTAAGATACTTACCTAGGTGGGTTTCCGCATCCATGACTTCGGTTTTGTTGCGCGGGCCGTTTTCAGTTGATTTGCAAAGCTGGGGCAATTTTTTTCCGAATGTAAAAGAAGGAAAAAATGCAGGGCACGCTAAAAATTGTTTACCCAAATTCTATATTGTTGAAATAAATATGCTTCTGATTTTAATTCAAACATATATATTTTTGTTGCAAACATGGTTTTAATTTATTTTGAATTATTTATATGTTTATAGAATGAACATTTTTATTTTTGATTTAAATGAACAAAATTCAGTTCCGTGTTGTTTTGAATGTAAATATAATTAAATATGTAAGGCAAATGAAAGACCACTCCCATACCAACGGTCCAAATAAATATTGTAACCCAGTCACACCAACAACACATAACACAGAACAGATAACAGGAAGGAGTAAGGATGAAGGTGGGCGTTGGAAACAGGAGAAGGATACGGACAAGGGGTGGTGGAAAAGTGGGAGGGTGATGGAAATGGGCTTAGGTCAAGGGGGAAGCTACTGGGTCAAACTCAAGAGAAGGTGCTCTTTCACTTCAGCCATTGCGCGAGATAGTTCGATCTGCCAAGTTTGCTATAAGTTTTGGAAAAAATAGTGAAGAGTTACCAACAAATATCGGCTAATACCACCGAATACGGAGTCAGGACCCATTAATTACGGGCTAATCCACGAGGGTGTCCGTTAACACGCCAACACCCGTGTAGCAAGCGTCCTTCGGTAAGACACCGACGACCACTGAGAGACCACCGTCCATCACCTGATCGAGCCCCAGTGCCACATCTGTCGTGCCACACGGTGACAACCGCCGAGCACCGGCATCCACTGTGAACAGTCCGTTCATCCGCCGTCGAAAAACCCCACCCACTGCAGAATCCCGTCATCGCTGGCCAGCACTACACACACACACACACTACAGATACCGAAACCGTAAGTAATAAGTGAGTGAGACAATAAACGAGTTAAAAGTGATAAAGAGGTGTTTTGTACTTCGGATCAGTGTCGACAAGCCAGGAGCCGACCTTGAAGCTCCAGGGTTTCAAGCTCGAGCTAGCCAACAAAAGAGGCGAGTGTAGCCCACCCCAGACGATCTCCGTGGCTAGACCAGAGGTTAGGGGAATCCCTTTAAACTAGCCGATCTGGCTAGCCATCAACAAACTTTGCCGAAGATTGTATGTATCTGTTTTCAAATATGAGAAAATTAGTTTTTGAATATCAATAAATTGGAGGACTACCAAACGTTATTTTACAAAAAGGCATATAAGGAGCACGGCCAATGAGAATAACTCAAAGAGAGCCACTTCTACTCAGTTATATGATAAATTTCTAAAATAGCCTATTTTAAATAGGTATGAAATGCATATTTTTTTCCCTCTGTTCGGGACATAAAATTACTTCGACCAGTAATTTGATATATTGTAGTCATATAGGGGAATTTACGTATTCTCGGCAACCTAAGCAGCGACCTTCTTTCTATAGCCTTTTTCTCTATGGAACGCACACATATGCAGTATTGGTTTGTTTACAATCTTTTGCTGCCAGCTGCTCTAACAATTTCAGTCGAAAGAATTGTCAAAAACTGTTTTGAAACGCTTTTACAAAGCTCCAATCTTCTCTAGTGAGAGCGAGTATTGTCGGCAACCAGTTTTTCTTCGGCAACCGTTCCATTTGAACTGCATGTAAATCTGCTGTTCTATTATCGGCAACTCGAAATCAGCTACAATTTGTACACTGAAACAAATCGACATGTACCGTTTATTGGATCCATCTTATAACATAGCAATGTCAGCAGATTTATTCATTCTATGTGATGATTGATAGATTCCATTGGATTATCACTTAAAAACTATGACTGCGATATGGAATAATTTCTATCGTAATTTCACATACTTAGTACTTGATAATACTTTGCTTCGAACGTGGTTAGCGATAGGTAAAAAGTATATGAATATTGTCTGATATATTTCATGGTGAAAAACTGTTGATATGTCATGGATGGGAACAGACATCTAGAAACTAATGGAAAATCATATAAGTTTGCACTATGAGAAAATTCAGTAAAATATACCTGTTTTCATGATGAATATTGCTCACTAAAATATATATCTTATAAGATAATCATGTATATTTTATTGGAGTTGCTTTTACTGATTTTTGACGTTTGTTGATATGTCGCGTGTAAATAGACATGTAGAAACTATTGGACTGTCATTTAACTTTGCAGTATAGGAAAACATATATATCTCATTGTAATAGCTTGCTTTGATTTTTGACGTTTAAAGATTGTATGTTTTTCTCGGATGAATATCGCTCCCAATAAAATACATCTTACATGATTGTTCTTTATAAATTATTGAAACAATTTTCAACGATGTTAACGTACACTCATTAAAATGATTAGTGGAACTAAATACTACTAACAACAATGATACTGTATTGAATAATCTTTGTTTATTATTGTTTCATATGATAATTGGTTCCAGAAAAGAATGTATTGAGATTGAAAAAAAAAATGATTCTACTGTAATATTTACTTTGCTATGATTCTAATTGTAAGCCTTCTACACGGCTAATTCAGATTCCAGCCCTAAGTAGTATTCGAACTTCATGAGCCAGTTCTATCAAATCATATAATTTAGTCGTTGATTTATTGCACACAGGTGCATTAAGAAATATTTGAACAAACCACACCACCGAAACGGAACATAAATTTGTCAGTGCTATTTGTCTTCACTCTAGCAAAACGAGCATAAAGTTGCACTACATTCCATGTCGGGAGAGCTGTTCTTACTTCATGCTATTTGAACGAGCTCAATCTTGAAGTCAGCCGTGGCCCAGTGGAATCGAGCACAGACACCGAAAGCATCACACCTCAACAGATCTTGATCGAATCCCAAATCAGCTACAATAAAAAAAAGGCACAACTGTGAAAGCTCCCACTGCCTGATGTTTATTTTTCGAATTTATTTTTAGAAATCGATTAAATATATGTGTCAAAAGAAGAAGTAAATTTCATGTTATTTTCACATAAACTTTACTTCGATTGATTTATGACACATATATTATATTGTGGTGAAAAGTATAGCTTATGCTTATGGGTTTCAAATCCTTTTCAGTTAATTATTATAATTTGATCGATTTTCATTTATCATATGACGATCATATAAAAGTTACCAAATTATCAGCATTGTAAATGTATCAGATATTCATATAGAATTTACCTGACACATTTTCAATCATATCATTTTCAATGGATTATCTTATAGCGCAAATTTATTAGACTTCCACATAACAGGAATATGTCAAATTCGTTCAGTGTAGTGCGTGTGTTTCATTTCAAGAAAACCCTGCTAGATTGCTTTTTCTCAGTGGTAAAAATATAGTCAAATTGAAGCTGAAAGCATAAAGAATCGTTTGCATGCATTCAGCGAAGTGTTTTCGTAAGAAAATCCAGTGAAAATAGTGTTTCAATTTGGGTTGCCGAAAATAGTCTGTCATGCCGAAGCCGTCATTTCCCCTATATACATACACTCAAAAGATTTTCAAATCTAAATAGATTAAAAGTTA